TGACCCCTTTCTGTATACATGTAAATGCTAACAGAATAAATATAATTTTCAGTTTCTGAAATAATAACCCGGTGCCAGCCATCACCTCAAGAGCCAAATGTGGGTCAGAGGAACAGGCAATACCCTTCAACTCTTAGCCCACCTGGTCACTCTGTGACACTGAAGAAACAGAAACTACTTTAAACACTTATAGACTGAAAAACAAAGCCCAGGACAATATCTACTTTTCTGAAGGACTTCAATGCCTCTGAAATGTGATGTTTTCCTGTTGTTTCCTTATACTGCTTCTAATTACTGGGTCTATTTGCATGAATGAGATCTGGGTTGCCTAGGAGTTCATCTGCTCCTATTGCATATTCGTCTCTTAAATAAGCATACTTCAGCACGCAGTTTTGCTTGCTGCCTCCAACATTTTGACAGGACCTCTCTCTCCTCTCCTTACAGTGTCCTCTCATCACTCCTCAGGAGAGAAGGTTATTTTTAAAGTCCATAAGCTATAGCCTTTGGGGAACAGCCAAAACATGAAGGAATCATATGATCAGGAATATGCAATAGGGATTGCAGAGAGAAGAGATGGCAACAGGCCATTCCAAAAATTGTCTGAGAAGGGAAAGACAGTCTGAAGCTCCCATTGAAAGTGTTTTGGGACTTCCTTTGCACAGGCTTTTATCCTGCAGGGATTCCTTAGCTTGGTTTCATAGTATTGCTTTGAGGTGAAGGGGATATAGACCAGTGTTGACAGTTACTTATCAGGCCAGATAATGTTCCATTAAGTCAAACTTGGTTTGAGGATCTTGGAGTCTTCAATCTCTTGGTCACAGCCCTATTGTTTTGTCCTTGAGGCTGATGATGCCTCTGCTGAGGGTTTGAATCAAAAATAGCCCAATTATTTTCACAATGACTACAGAAATGACTGTTTTGTCGCCCTGACTCAACTGGCCGAAGTCTTCAAGCCTAACAACTGCCTGAAAAAGGAACGCTGTTGAGCAAAGAAGGCACTTAAGAAGAATGTGGAGATGGTTGTGCACAGACCAGCATCCCAACTGGAAAGCCAGCTCAAGGGAGGGAAGAGGTTAATCCTGCAATATTTTCCATTGCATGACTTAGAACATATAGCTCTCTTTTAGCTTTCCACTTATAACTGGGGATTTCTCCCTTTATGGATTTTTTTATTTTCTTTTAATGATTATAACTGTCCTTCCTGTACTAGAGAAAAAGGATCCATGACTCCAGCCTTGCATTTTCTTTCTCCTGGTTATTAGAAGAAATTGATTTGTTGCTCATCTCTTTGACTTGGGATATCTGATTCTGCTGTTTTTATTTAATATATAAGATATAAGATTAATATATAAGATTTGCTTATTTTTTTTTATTTAGCAGTTGTTTTTTTCCTATTTCATCTAATTAACTTTGTTTAATCATGTTCTAGTGAGTTAATCATTACAGATCAGCGTAATATGTTGTGCAAATTTTTAAAAACATGCTTTGGTCATGCATGTTGCGGAATAGGCTGGGTGTCACATGTGCTATTTGTCCTCAGCTGTTTCTATATTATACACATTAATAAGACCCTGCTCCAAGGCTAATCTTATATCATTAAAATGCCTTCCTAGGGAATTCTTCTTTGACTGAAAACAAAAAACAAAAAACTTAGTGGCAGCATTAATTAAAAATAAAAGACCATGACCTATTGTTGAATGCAGAATATCTTCTTAGAAGTGTGTGCCTTCATTATTGCAAACTCTCAGTAGTGACATAAAGATCTTTGTCCTGTACGGATGCAGTTACAGCCGGCAACAGAAGGCATATATCCACTCAGAACAAAAGAACATTTATCTTCACATTCTGTGGCTGATGGCGAGTGATAACATTTTTGCATATCCTAAAAACTTTTATGCAGATAATGATTCAAGGCAAAAAATGCTTTTACAATAATCTTCTTTGTGAATGGAATTTAAACTCTGGGCATGGGTTGCCTTTTCAGTATGCCTGTCAAATTCTGAATAATAACCTTTGACAGTGTGTGAGCAGAAACAACACCGGATGTTGTTTCCTCTACTCACAGCAACTTTGTCATCTTTGTTTTTTTATTTTTAATCTATACTCATTCACCTTAAAAAATAACAAAATTAATATTTATAAACAACTTACTACACTATGATTTTTAAGAAATAGTCTAATTTTCACCATGGGGGCTGTGGTGATCCAGTGGCAGAATTTTCACCTTCCATGCAGGCGACCTGTGTTCGATTTTCAGCTGATGCACTTCATTCACAGCTGCCTCTCATCTGTCAGTGGAGGTTTGTGTGTTGCTATGATGCTGATCAGGTTTCATCAGAACTTCCAGACTAAGATGAACTAGGGAGAAAGGCCTGGCAATCTACTTCCAAAAATCAGCTAAGGAAAACCTTATGGATGACAACGGTCCAATCCTCAGTTGATCACAGGGATGGCACAGGACTGGGCAGCATTTCCATCTGTTGTGCATAGGTTGCCATGAGTTGGGAGCCTACTTTATGGCAGTTAAAAAAATAACAGTTTTCACCATGGCGAGTTACACAGCTCTATCTCTGGGTGACTAACTAAACTTGTGATAAATGGGTATTAAAAAATTTATAAAACCTTAATATGCCTTTATAAAAACAGAATAAAACTGAACACAAGATGCTGCATGAGTTGTGGGATAAGCAGTAAACAGAAGACATACTCTAAGTCTTGGAAGTAATTGTAAAATCATCTGTCTTGGCATTGCCAAGGCAAATTGTATATTGAGAAATTTAGAGCATATCGATATAATACTTACAGAAATAGCTGAAATAGAAATGTTCAGTCTTTAAGCATTTTTTGAAAGATGCTTTGATACTGGGCAACTGTGCGAATAGTTCTGTATTTTTAACTAGTTAACTTGGTTATAATAACCAAACTGGTTTGTGCATGTGGAGATAGTTTACTAACAATTCAATTTATCAGAGAACGAAATGACCAAGCATACTCCAAGTCTACCAGTTGTGATACAGATTTATTTTGGTTGAAGTTATTTTGAATTGTGCTTACAAGCTCACAACTGATATGTTTTGCCAATCTTTGAAGGCAATGAAGCAGAGAAGCCTTAGCGTAACATTGTATTAGATGCTATAGTGGCATATCTTTAATAAATAATACCCATTTTGACAAGTTTATTGAAACAGGTTTTATTTACTGCACAAAAAATATGGTGATAAAAATAATGAAAGTAAAAACCAGTGACTAACCATTGTACCAGCAATTAAACAATTGCTGTATTTGTTTTTTCTTCCATAGTACAAATCCAAGTGGAGGAAGAAGAAGAAGATTCTGAGGAAAGCTCAAGTAAGTGGGGATGGGCCTGTGGGGCACAGTCTACAGATATATTTCCTGTGGCATAGAAGTGAATTCAAGGGATTAGTCTTTTTACTTTGTGGGGTGGGGTGGGGTGAGGGGGTGATATTTGATTGTCTCAGAAAAGAGATTAAGCTAAGTGAATGGAATCTCCGCTCTGATTCCATTCAATTGCCACACACACATACCACCCAATTCATAAGTTGCCCACAATCAAGTAGATGGTGGCCCAGAAAAATCTGGTTTTTAAATTCTCTCCTATACTGCCTGGAAAAGCCTTTGGTCCTAAAAGCTTTTCTGGAAGGCTGAATCTATATTATACTCCCAGATTGGCCATTTTGACTGAAATGACCAGGTGGTCCAATTAAAATAAATGAACTGATTCTTCTGTACTGAATTTATGGGTATTTTGACCAAATTGCTGCTTTTACTTTGTGTAGGCTCAGCTCAAGGAGCCCTGGTGGTACCTTGGTTAAAGTGCTCAGCTGCTAACCCAAAGGTCAGCAGTTTGAACCCACTAGCTGCTGTGCAGGAGGAAGATGTGGCAGTCTGCTTCAGTAAAGATTACAGCCTTGGAAACTCTATGGGGCAGTTCTACTCTGTCCTATAGGGTCGCTGTGAGTTGGAATCCACTTGACGGCAATGGGTTTGGTTTGGTTTTGGTTAGGCTCAGCTCAAGAGCCTAGATTGTGACCCTTTTTCAAGGCACCCAGTCTACTCTTAGACTAGAATATGAGAAAGATCATTATTTGAGCAAAAGCTCTGATTTCACCAAAACTGAAAGAAAGAGTAGGAGCTAAAGAAGAGTTCAATTAGAGGGTACATTGAGACTTCCAGTTTAATATCCTGAGCACAATTTTACAGCCAATGAATGTCCACTATGCCAATTGCTTTCATTATTTGTCTCCTAAATAAAACAGCCCAGATTCTCTCACAAATCCTGGGTGCCATTAGTCAAAGACTGAATTAAGCCAATTCCAAAAAGTAGTATTGTATGCAGAACTGATTTAGTAGTCAACCATAAAAAATGTTCATTTTTTTAGAATTTGAATATTTGGAAACCAGTTAAAGGATAGAAGACTGCGTTTTTGTTTCTAAACGGTAAAGATAAATTTAATGATACGCATTTCAACCATGGTTGTTGTGGTTAGTGCCACTGAGTTGATTTCAACTCATAGCGACCTCATGTGACAGCGTAGAACTGCCTCATAGCGTTTTCGTGGCTGTATTCTGTATAGAAACACATCACCAGGTCTTTCTTCCGCGGAGCTGCTGGGTGAGTTCTGACTGCCAACCTTTCAGCTAGCAGCTGAGCACTTAACCATTTGTGCCACCACGCAGGGCTCTATTCAACCATGGTAAAACTATGCAAATCCTAAAGGAAAGAGTTTAGTAGATTAGTCCTAATACAAGAAATAAGCATTCCTGAGTGGCATAAATGGTTACAACTTGACAACTAGCCAACATGATGGAGATTTGAACCTACATGGACCCGGAAGACAGGCCTGGTGGTCTGCTTTCAAAAAGTCACAGCCTTGAAAATCCTATGGAACAGTTTTACTCGTACACATGGGGTTGCCTTGAGTCAGCATCGACTCAACAACAACAATACAAAAAAATGCAGAATCTAAGTGGTTACTTGGAGTCCCTGTGTGGTGCAAACTGTTAATGCCTTCTGCTGCTAACCAAAAGGCTGGAGGTTCTAGTCCACTGAGAGTCACCTCAGAAGAAAGGCCTGGTGATCTACTTCTGAAAAGTCAGCCATTGAAAACCCTATAAAGTACAGTTCTACTTTGACACACATGGCGTTGCCATAAGTCTGAATCGACTCATAGGCAACTGGTTTTTGTAGTGGCTGCTTGACTTCTTGAGTTATGTGTGGGTGAAATTGTTTGTGAACTCCTGTCAGGCTCTTGTCTTCTTCATAATTAATGATTAATATGACTAATAAAGGCTGGATAAATTTTCAGAATGACAAAATTGGGTTCAAATAACATACAACATTTGACACAATATTTTACACATAGAAACTTGTTCTTGGTTTTGATGAGAGAGTATAGTTTTTAAAACTCGGAAAAGCTATCCTTTTGTTTCTCTCTCTGTCTTAAATTTAGAAATATAGGTAATAGTTAGATTTTAGATCTGAAATATCAATAAAAATGTTTCAAAAAGTAGCATTAAAAGATAATTTCTAAAAAAGGTAAAATCATGACTCTCATATGTTAAAAACAAACACATTTAACTCATTAATGAAGAAACTGGTGAGGTGTTACAAAGAGTTCAAAGGAAAATCCAAATAACAGAACCATTAATAGATCAGAAATATTGAAATGACTGTGTAAATACAGGCAAACTGGGTTTTTTTTTAAAGGTCAGACCCATTGACCACCACCAAACATAATTCATTTGCATGTCTATAGACAATAATTCTTTTGCTTCTGTGTCCAGTGATCTGGAAGTTGCACAATTATAAAATAGCTCCCAAAGAATCAAAATCAGAAAACACAGAAGGATATGCTACAGACAATTCATTGTTTTCCATTGAAGCTTAATTTTTTCCCTACAGTAGCTTCTATTTAAGAGGATAGTGATAACTGCGAGTAATGCTTGATTTTTTTTATGATAGTTTATTCTAAAGGACATGAGAAATTAAAAAAACAACAGACATGAAAGTGAAGTAGGAATGTATATTATAAACTCTGTGAAGGAGGGGACTGAATCATCTATTTTTTACCCAGAGGATTCCTAAGAAGTTATGGACATCTGAGGCGTTAATTGTTAGTTGCTCAGTAAAAATATAGTGCTGTCATTTCTCTAAGTTCCATGTTGTTTGTATTTAGAAATTACCCATTTCTATTCATAAGGATAGAATGATCAAGCCACTGTGCTTACCAACAATTTCATGTAAGGAGAGTGACAGGAAATATTTAGGAACGAGAAGAATATATTAGGAACCAAGAAGAAAGGTAATTTGAATTAGAGGAATCTTGAGGACTTAATGAATTTCTCCAAAATCCTAGTTTGTATCATTTCCTTGTCAGTCCCTCCTTTGTTCTAACACAGAAGTAGTAGTAAATGCATAGTGGTTAATCACTCCCTTATGTGTTGGAATTAGAAATCTCTAAACTTGGATTTGGTTTCAATAGTTGTCTTAGAGGTCCTGGGTATGACATAGAAGTGTAAGCCATCTAATTACCCAAGTAAATGAAGACTGGGATTACAAGGATTATTAAAATGTGGGGATCCACATTCCCCTGTTTGAGAGATGAACCACAAAGGAAATGAAAATCTAGACAAATTTATTCAAATGGCAGACTATGAAATATGTATGACATGCTGCATCTTATCGTGATATGGAGAATTGCTAGATTCTGGTTTCAGGTGGGTGACACTAGTAATTAAAAAGGAAAATGCATTTGGTAGCAGGAGAGAGCACTTCTGAGATTGCTTATTGACCCGTTATCTGCTGTGTTCAGGTGAAGAGGAAGAGAAACTACCCCGAAGAGAAAGCTTGAGACCAAAGAGGAAACGGACCAGAGATGTTATAAATGAGGATGACCCAGAACCTGAACCAGAAGATGAGGAAACAAGGAAGGCAAGAGAAAAGGAAAGGAGAAGGAGATTGAAGAGAGGAGCGTAAGTTAGTTCTGATATATACGTGAAGGTGGTTTTCATTCAAAGACCGTGACACTGAAAGAAGACCACTCGCTTTAGGCATTCTTTGGCCTTAAATTTGGTAATTAAAACTACTTTTGGAAAGGCAGGCTTAATTTGATGCCCCCACTTTACTCCAGTTAATTAAATATATTTTAATAATTAAAATAGAATTAACAACTATCTGTATCTATATCTGGAGTCCTGGCTGCACTGTGGTTAAGAGCTACGGCTCCTAATCAAAAGATTGGCAGTTCAAACCCACCAGCCGCTCCTAGGAAACCCTATGGGGCAGTTCTACTCTGTCCTCGAGGGTAGCTATGAGTCACCATCTACTCGATGGCAATGGGTTAGGTTTGGTATATCTCTATCTATGTCTATATCTATACCCATATCCATATCTATACACCTATACATACAAAACAAACTATAATAAATTCCTTTATGAAAAGTCGAAATTGTCACAGCTCATTAACATATTATGGTTAATTTAACTATTTTTAAAGTATCTAATTAATTATATGCATCGTTACCTAGGTTAAGTGGAATGTGCCTAAAAGATGAGCCCAAATCACTTACAGAGTAGGGGTTGGCGAACTATGGCCATATCCAGCCCAAGAGCTAAGAATGTTAATCATAATAAATAAATAAAGACAAATATGTAACAGAAGCCACATGTAGCCCTCAAAGCCTAAAATATTGTCTCTCTGCCCCTGCATAGAAAAAAAGTGTGCTAATGCCTGTTAAAAAGTATTGAGGTTGTCTTTTCCTTTTTAATACAACCCTGCATCTTTGAGTTCCACCAGGCCAACATTTTACTGAGCACCGACTTTGTGTAGAAATAATATATTAAATACTCCTTGGGGGGAAAATCCAGAAAAATAATTTTCTGGTCTTTGCTTTCTGGAAATATGCAGATACAGGCAGGTGGGAAAACTACGCATTTAAAATATAGCTAGTAAAAGAAAATACAGACCTTTTTAAAAAGGACTCAAGAGAACAGCAAACCTACTCTGCCACTTGAAAGTAAATAAGACCACGTGAATCACCACAAGGTAATGGGATTTCCTCCAAAACACTTCTAGGGCTTTAAATGAGGAGGCACTTTCCAATATATCCACCAAGATGACACATTCCCTTACTCAATAACTGTTATTTTCCACCTGTTAACCTGACTATGCTAGGCCCAAAATGGAGTTACTTAATGCTAAGCCCCACGTCAGCAAACCAAAACCTATGTTTATATTTCTTATAAATGCCTAAACTTCCCAGGAGCCCAAACCCAAGTCAATCAATTGATTCTCCCTGAAACGGAAACCTAAGCTAAATAATTAGAACTTGCCTTCTCAGTTTAAAACAATAAGAACTTTCCTACTCAGTATAACCTTGTTCAAAATTACCTCTTTATTCCAAATAAGGAAAGAAAATGCCTGCCAGCCATTCCAAAATTTGCTCAGTATATCTTCCTTTTTCTGTGAATCTGTGACTACAAAATCCTTTTGTTTTGTACCATTCTTCAAAATTCTTGCCTGACTTCCAGGCCAGATGCTCCGGGATTCGTGAATTGAAAAATAAAGTTTATGATTTGGTACACAAATTAGCGTTGTAGAAATTTTAATTTTTAACATTTCTTATAAATAATTGTGATTCAATAAAACTGTATGAAAATTTTGTCAGATAGAGGACCTTAGCATTAATAGACACTTGTCCTTTTTAGGAAAAAAAGAGTAACCCCACCTACTCTTTTTGCTTTATATTTTAGTTTATTTAATTTTTAAAAATTTCTCCCACATCTTATTCCTCCTCCTTCTTCTTCTTCTTTTTTTTTTAGCTCCTTCCCAAGCTCCTCCTCTTTCTTCTTTGAATATGTGGAAATTGCTTGCTTTAAATTTTGATTTTGGTATTTTTTTTTTTATTTGTGTCTTCTTTTCAAGTATCTTTAGCTTTGTTCCTTTCCAATAGAAAATGCAACACAATTTTAACTTCCAAGTATTATTATTATTGTTATCACTATCAACAAAAACCCATTGCCATTGAGTCGATTCCAGCTCACAGAGATTTTGTAGTAATATTTCCTATTAGCAAAGCTGATAATTGCTGACAGTAGCATTTCATTAAGAAAATATTACCAATAGAGGTTCCCAGGATATAGGCTGTGTTTCCGAATTTGCTTTTCCTCTCCATTTACACCACAGAAAGTTTGTTCTAAAAAAGGTATGTTGGGCAGGAATTCCTCTGTAGCCTTGATCTGCTTGTGGCTTTCCGGGTATTTCCTCAGCTTCCAGGAAGGAGGGCCCTGTGAATGAGCTGAGTCTTGACCCATGTCTGCCTGAGAAGGTCTTATTCCTGATATAGTGGCAGTGCTGGTCTCACTCACGCTCCTCCTGGTTCTGAGAAGCCCATGAGCAACCCGCCCCACCTCACTTAGTCAAGCTTGCTAAAGTCAACTTTGTCTCTATAGGTTTTGCAAATTATACTTTTACTGCCATAAATTATGCATATATTCTAAGTAGTGTCATAAATTATTTGTGTGATTGATAGTTCTGATCTCTAATTTAGGTCCATTTTCTGGTCTTCATTGTAAAGATAAGCATCTTTTTTTGGTGTGTGTGTGAAATATTAGAAAAAATGAGTGGGCAAATCAGGGCACATTTATTTAGGCTAATTAATTCAGGGTCTTTTTTTATATAAATGCTCAAGCAATGCCTCAGGGAATTTCCATTGCCCTGACAATACATTTGAAACCAACTAAAACCAAGGTTTTAATTATAAATATCTATGGAAAGGGTTAAAAAATACTGCCTTGTTAGACATTTTGGAGTATTTCTAATAGTATTACTGGCTTTTCCTGACCCAGTTTTAAGTGAATGCGTAATATGTTCAGAGCGGTGAGAAATTCAGCATAACATGCCTTCTTTTTCTTAACAACTGTTGTTTAAATAAATTAGACTTAAGATAGAAAGTCATTCTTGCATAGATTAGCCCTAAATCTTAGAAGATGAAGCATGCCTCTGCTGTGTCCTTTTATATGATTAACACTTTCTTTGAGCGTTTCCTAAAAAAGCAGATTACCTATATTGCTGATGAATGTAATATATTCATTACCTGCATATTTGAAGGTCACTTATCTGTCAAAAACTGTACGCTGTAGCACAGCATGATCCTCCTGCAGCAATCAACAATTAATAACAAAGACTTTAAAAATATACCAGTTTGGGATCATTTAGTGTAGAGGTAAATGTTTTTCCATTCCATAATAATCTTGGAAGTTACTGTTATATTTCAGTATACTGTGAGCACTGGATTTAGGATGATAACCCTGAGTCATCCAGAAAAGTTCTGTATTCAATAAATATATATCCAGCTCCACTTCTGTGGAAGATAATCTGTTAATTGCTTTGAGAGATTTACATAAGGATGCATGATTGCCTGCATTCTCCAGAAGTTCATAATGTGGTAAGGGAGAGATCACATATACACAAATTATTGTGAAACAAGACAGTATATATCTGTCAGAGAAGAGGTCTGGAGTCTTAGAGAAAACTATTCTCATAAGGATTATCAGAAAAGGGGTTAGTGAAGATACTTCATTTTATTTTTGAAGGAACCATAGAATTTAGATAAGCTAAACATATAAAGTACTGGGTTTAAGATAAAAGAAAAGTATGTAATTAGTCTTAGCAAGGTTCCCATTAAATGATTTTTAAACATAGGCATATAAAGAAATAAGCTTTAGTTACATGTTAAATCCACTTAATGGTAGATTATTCTTTCCTTCTTTAATGAAGTACTATTTTATATATAAGTCTTAATGGAAATTCAGTAATGTAAAGTTTTAAGACACTAACATGTAAAATATTGTGAGTTATTTTTGGCACTTGGGCAAGTTAAAGGGTTACAATGTCAATAAATTACATTACTAATCCTAAAGCTTGTTTGTTTGCTAATTGATTGCATTGTCAATAGTTTCTCAGCATCTATTTTCTTTTCTTTTTGATAGTTTCTGTGAAGATTTCAGTTAAACAATTATCTATATAATTTAATTTAGGTTTATGTCAGTCCCCCAAAGAAATAATTTCAATCATTTTTACTAAAACATATTTTCTTTCCTAAAACAGACCAACCCAAATATTACTCCAATTGGTAAATTAAAAGAAACAAACTGTGAATATAGATATAGTAAAAAAAAAACCTCCAGTATTTTATGTCATTTTTGGACAGCACCATAGGGTTTTATATAATAAACATAAAATCATTAAAACAGAAACAACTCAGTGGCAGTCAGAGTTGTATTTTCCATAGTTCTCTTGAACCAGGCATATTATTCTAAGCAAAATATTGGTTAAAAACAAAACAAACTTTCAAGAGGAAGTGTTATTGTAGAGGGTTAATATGAATTGCTTCAGTAATCATAACATGATTTAAAAACTATGGATGGGTACCAACACTCATATGTCAGTTGATTGTACTGTGGTGGCTTTTGTATTGCTGTGATGCTGGAAGCTATGCCACCCGTATTTCAAATACCAGCAGGGTCACCCATGGTGGACAGGTTTCAGTGTCTAAAACGGACTAAAACAGACTAGGAAGAAGGACCAGGAGGTCTACTTCTGAAAAAAAATTGGCCGATGAAAACCTTATGAATAGCAATGGAACATTGTCTGATATAGTGCCAGAAGATGAGCCCTTCGGGTTGGAAGGCACTCAAAAGACAACTGGGGAGGGGCTTCCTGCTCAAGGTAGAGTCGACCTTAATGATGTGGATGGAGTAAAGCTTTGGGGACCTTCATTTGCTGATGTGGCATGACTCAAAATGAGAAGAAATAGCTGCAAACATCCATTAATAATCAGAATATGGAAGGTACAAAATATGAATCTAGGAAAATTGGAAGTCATCAAAAATGAAATGGAACACATAAACATTGACATCCTAGGCATCAGTGAGCTAAAATGGACGAATATTGGTAATTTGAATAATACAA